TGGGAAGAAGAAAACCACATCATTGTTGACTGCAAACCGCAAACCCTATACAACATTGTTTGATTCTTGTTTTTTATATAGAGATGGTTTTCTTGAAACTGAATACAAAATTTTTTTCTCACACAGAAAGCAACATCTTGACGCTCGGGTTCCATTCTCTAAAGTGATTGTACCCCCTCTTAACCAACTTCTCTACTTCCATATTTTCCCTCTCTCATCTTTGTTACCTTTGTTTTGCTTGGATAAAAGAATCTCAAGTAAACTATTTGCAGAACAAATGGAACGAGTAATACAGAAAAAAAAAAAAAACAACTTTTAATCAACTTGGAGGTGGTCCTACGTTTTGGGGTGGGGGCCTTCAATGTCTTTTAGTGTTATTTTATGTGGGCATGAGTCCAAAATATAAACAAGTTGAAATCAGGAAAAGGGCAAGAGCAGCTACGTGCAAAAATTTCTGAGGGTACTCGTGTGAGAGTTGAAAATCAAAACATCTCCAGAGAACTGATTTGCTATGAAATGTTGCTCATGAAAAAAAAATGCATTAGACGAGAGTAATCAAAATATCTCCAAATAACTGATTTGCTATAAAATGTTGCTCAAGAAAGAAAATGAATTAGAAGAGAGGACTGATTTCCTGAATGCTTCTTCTAGGAAATCTAAGAAATATAGTTACACAGTAAGAAATCTGAAATCTAAGAATACTAATCACGTGAGAATGAATGAAATATGAGAATATGATTCACTTAAATGAGAATGATCTCAAAACTACAAATGAAAAAAGGGGTTATAAATTGGGGTTTATACATTAGAGGGGCAAAATGGTCCAAAAATACACGAAAGGGGTAACTTTGGTATTATAAAATGCTTAATTGACAAAATACTAACGAATGGACCTGTGTTTATTTCTAAAAATTTGGGGTACCTAAGTGTTGCATTCGAAAGTTCAGGATACCTAAGTGTTATTATCCCCAAAGTATAGGGTACTTATCTACAATTTACCTTTATTTAAATGCACCCTGAACTTTCAAAACCTATTTACATGTACCTTGTTGACCTTTTAAAAGGTTAAGTCTAATAGATAAATTATAAAAGGCAAACGTGTCCTTTACTATTTATTAAATTTTCAAAACATATCATATTCTTTATTTTTCTGAATAACATCTACAAAACCTTCAACCAATAGAACCCATTGTAACCCCCTTAGTAGAGTTGTTTGAAAACTTGCTTTGGTGCTGGAAAAGAGATGAAGTCTTCAGACTTTTATCTACAATACTTTTTTTTTTATTTTTTACGTCATCATAGACCAAATAGATTCTTGATATTATCGGTAAGTATCTCCTTGTTGGCCTCAATCCAGTATAAAGAAAAGAAGTTTCCTTTTCTTTATAGTTTCCTCTCTATGATTGTGATGATCCGAAAAAAAAAAAAACGGATGCACTTGTGTAAAATAGTGGGGGGAGAGATTTGAGATCTCTTATTTTTAGGGCTGTTCATAAGAATGCCCAACCCGACCAAACTGACCAACCCGGATCGATCTAATCTGAGTCGGTTGGGTTTTCATCAGTACCGGTCGGTTTTGGGTTAGGCAAATATATAAACCGATATATCGGGTCGGTTTCGGTTTCTTGTGTGAAAACCGAAACAAATTCGACCCGAACCGAACTAGTCTTCTACTAGTTCGGTAGTTCCTAGTTTGAGTAGTTTTCTACTTAACTATAAGTAGTCTTCTACTAGAACTAGAAGGCCCATTAGGCAATTACAATTAGAATAGTCAATCTATCATAGTTTCAAACTTTCTATAATCTTTTACACCAAATAGGCAACCCATTAGGCAATTACAATTAGAATTCAATTAGGTGTTTTTTTGTACAGGAGCAAAACCGAAACCGACCCAACCCGACTCAAACCGACCAGGTCGATTTGGCCTATCAGTGGGTCGGTTTCGGTTTCCACCTCAAGTAACCCGACCAGGTCGGGTCGGTTGGGAAAAACCCAATAAACCGACCCAATCCGACCCGTGAACACCCCTACTTACTTTGGTGTTTGAATAGAGATTAAGGGTGATTGCAAAAGTTTTGGGTTGCATGAGGCGGGGTGAGATATCTTATTTCGATTGGGCAATTTGAAGATTAATTGTGTTTTCAAAATGGAAAATCCAAAATCACTGTATTCAAAGCCCAAAATGTAGATATGAAACAATTAAACAGCATTCGTTTTCAAAACCCAAAACCTAAATTTAGTTATTAAAAATTAAATTAAAAAATTTAATATGGGTCTTACATCTTTGTAATTGGCAATCTAATCTATTTTAACCTATTTTATTTGAAATCCACTATGAATTTATGTTTTTTTAATTTGATTTAATATATTAAATGAGATCTTATTGGTAAACAATAATAGGGGTTACCCGAACTATGGGACTTTTTTGTGAACTGAACCGGTAGTACTGGTTTTTGGAAAACTGGTAATCGGAACCGAACCGAAACTAGTTGGTTAACCATTGGTTCAGTTTGTCATTTTTTTAGTTTTTATAGTATTTATTATAAAATATATATACATATATATATAATTATAAATATATATATATAATATTATATTTTAAATAATAAATAGTATATACTATATTATAAATATATATTTATATATAATGCATATTTATTAATTTATAATATATAAAATATATAATATACATAAATATATAAAAAATATATAGAAAAACATGTATACCAGTCGATTCAGTTAACCGTCGATTTTTTATATTGGTTAACTGAAACCGAACTGGTTCCTTTGGTTTTTTAAAAATACCGAATCAAAACCAAACCGACCAGTTCGGTTAACCGGTTTTTCAGTTTTTTTGCTCACCCCTAACAATAACCCACTTTATTTGGTATTTACTATTTATCTATTAAATCTATTTAGAGTTATTTATTTTTAAAAGTTAAATAAGGGTGCTTCCTAAAAGTTAAATCAAGTTTTTAATTAATAAAGCATTTTCTTTTTTTTTTTAAAAATCATTTAAAAACATACGTGGATTTATTGTAATCTTTTAATGGTGTATTTAATAGACTATGGATAAACTTGTGTTAAGCTAATAAAATAACTGTCTATTGAGAATGTTTATTAGGAGTGAAACTACCCACTTTTTGAATCCTATTTCTTGAATTAATAGGATGCCATGTGTATGAATGGTGGTAGTGGGCTATGGGTTTTAGCAACAACTTCTTAGAAAATGCCACATGTCTAGCTTTCTAGAAAAATGAAAAGGCCACATGTTTGAATGGTGGGGGGATGTAGCTTGGTAGTGGGCTATTGGCTTTAGTAGGAATTTTTCAAAAATTGTCACGTGTCTAACTTTCCAGAAAATGAGAATGCCACTTGTCTGAATGGTGGTAATGGGTTGTAGGTTCTAATAACTTCTCAAAAAATGCCGCATGTCTAGATTTCTAGAAAAATGAGAAGGCCATGTGTCTAAATGGTGTGGGTTGTAGACCGAAGACTTTATATATATATATATATATATATTGGTATTAGAGCAAAATCAGGTTCATTCATTCCAAGTTCATCTAGTTTATTTCTGTTTTGAGTTGACTACGTCTTGTGATTTGATTGTGTATGGCAATTTGACAGTTCCATTCTAAGTAGACCTAGCAATTGGGTTGGGTGGGTCAAGTTTGAGTTGGGTTAAGACACTTTGGGTAGATTGTGGGTTGGGCCAGCAACTACTAGACCCTAACCCTAAATGTTTGGGTTAGGGTTAACCTACAGGTCAATTCAGGTCATCCCTAAAAATATCTAAACTTTTAAAATAAAAAAATATCTAAATTAAAAGAATTAACCTTAAAATTCCAAATATAAAATAAAAATTTGAACATTCAATAATTCAAAGAATAAAGACTAAATAGTAAAGATTAAAGAGTGAAAATTTCTAATAATATAGAAATAGTCCCAATTGAACTTGACAATAATCCCAAAGTGGATAGGTCAGGTCATTCTCAAATTTATGTAACTAAACATAAGACCTTAACCTAGTGGTTTTTGGGTTGGGTCGGATGGATTTTTGAGTTGGATCAACTTTTTGCCATATCTATTTTCTAAGATAGTTTATAAAAGGAGAGAGAGGAAAAACAAGAGTAAAATTAGCTTTGACATTTTCTTTTAAGTTTGTTTTTGTGGTTTACTTAATGATTATCCTTTCTAACCAAAAAAAAGTAGGTTTTGAAAGTTAGGCATGTTTAAATAAGGGGTGTAAATGGATCAAATTTAAATGGAATATGGCAATATCTGAATTGAAATCCGATTAAAATTAATATTTGAATTCAATCAATTAATTATTTTGGATAATTAATAAATATTTTATTTATATAAAATATATAAATATATAAATCATTTATATAATTTAATTATTAAATATATAAATTATATTAAATATTTAAATATTTCATATATTATATATAAGAATAAAATAATCATTTGAATTTGAATATTTATTGAATTGAATAAAGTCATATATAAATTCGAATCCAATTAGCTATTCAATACAATGTTTTCAAACTCAGACCGGACTGAATGGTCGGACCAGAAAAACTAGGAATCAGTTACTTGATTAGTTTCGTTTTACACCAAAATCGCTATTTGGGCAAAAACCGTTGATTTGATCAATGAACCATTGACCTGGACAGTTGAACCGTCAAATTATTCGACCCAGAAATGATTTTTGGCCGTTTTTTATTTTTTAATTTTTTGTCAGAACGGACCACGGTCAAACTATTCAACCCGCGAACCGAACCCACAATGGATCCCTGTCCGGTCCGGTTTTAAAAACTTGATTCGATATATCCGAATTTGATATTCGATATTCGAAATTGAATTTTGGAATACCGTTGAAACCCCTACATTTAATTATTTTGTTGAGGGTATAAATGCATATGCCTCGCAACCTGACAACCACTATCTCTCTCGCTTTGCATTTATTAGTGTTGTGCTGGTGACGGGCGTTTTCAGCTAATCCGAAATGACAAATAACTCCCCATTATTAAAATTTGCAACAAGGTTTAATAGTGGATGGACTCCTGATGCTTTAATTGGCCGCCATGGCTCCCGCCTGCGATAGGACCGACGCCATTGTCGTTCGTTGCAGATGTGTTTCCAGAGAGAATGGTGGTTTCCATTGCGAGAATCACTCGACTTCCATTGACCAAACATGTCCCCAATGCGGCGCCAAATGTGATCCTTCTTCATCATCTTTATATTATCTTCTTAGCTCTGATTCGCGATCCCAGAAAGATCTGGAGAAGGTTTGGAGATGCATTTCCGCTGCTGCCAAGGGTTTTACCATCGGAGCTGGTCTCAAAGGCGGTCTTGCTGCCTTCGCGATCCTCGCTCGGCTGAGGAAGGGAACATTCTCTGCCTCTGCAAGGTGAAGAGGTTTTGTCAATTTTATATTTGGTTGCTGCCTGGAGGGGGCTTTGATTCGATTTCGCATTCCTTTTACTATTCAGGAAGGTGGGAACGGTTTCGAATCGCGAAGCGATTATTATAGCCGTTAAGGAGACTCTTAGATATGGTCTCTTCCTCGGCACCTTTGCGGGTACATTTGTTACTGTAGATGAGTGTATAGCTGCTTTGGGAGGACATCGTAGGTATGTTACCATTCTTCTCATGTGAATTTGTGTTGTTTGGATCCTTAAAGGCATATTTTTTGTCACGGGTATTTGGTGATTCGGTCTCATACTTATTTACTAGAGCTGAAGGGAATTTTAATGCTTTTTTTCTCACGCAGAGACTCAAAACTCTTGTTCTGATTCAGGACCGCAAGATGGAGGACACTGTTAGCAGGGGCGGTTGCTGGGCCTTCCTTACTTTTGACTGGACCAAACACACAGCATGCAAGCTTGGCAATTTACATCCTTATGCGAGCTGCCGTCCTAGCTTCTCGATGTGGAATGAAAAGTAAACGATTTGGACGCATTTGTAAACCTTTGACTTGGGCCCACGGGGACATTTTCCTTATGTGCCTCTCTTCTTCCCAAATCCTGTATGTGACCTTTCTGCACAGTAAGATGTCTTAATTTAATATCTTTTGGCTTCTACTGCCAGAATTTTATTTCTTAGTTTTTATATTGAATTTGTCCTGATTTGGTATTCTATATGTCCATCTTTGTGGCAACAACTAGTGATTTTCTAGTTTTATTTAAGAAAGTTATTTTTTATTATGAATCTACATAATTCACAGGGTAGGAATAAATTTTGCTTAATTTTTACATGCACGAAGAACAAGTGAAATTAGAAGCATTCCGTCCTCTTCTAAGTTCTAACGAATGGATCCTTTGCCAAACGTTTGCTAAATGAGACTCTTTAGACCATTCTCACCACAGAAAGAGAGAACAAAGTACTAGGAGTTATAGCAATAACCGACTCATCTTGATGTCTGTTGTCTCTAAAAGGACAATTTCATCCTTTTCACTGTCCTACTAAGAGGGGTAAAGCCTTGTTCACTCATTTAAGAAAGCTGACCCAGTAGTTGAAATGGTCAGTTGGCATCCCTCAGTCCCTCTCCTCTCCGTGGTATGGCTAGTGGACCTCGAGTGCATGCTCTGTTCCCCACCCCTGATACTCCTGTATTATATACTATGTAATACCAATAATAATAATAATAAGGTGGCTGGCCTGTTTGCAGTCCAATTTGACCTTATCTCAATTCTCAAGGTTACCCGGTCATCTATAATCGTCATCATAAAGGACTTTGTTGTAAAAGTTTTCAGGATGGCTTTACATATTTACTTAGCGAAGACACTAGTATTATCTCTTCTTATTACTTATAAAAAAATTCTCCTCTTATTGGTTGTAGCCTTAGGTGCTTGGTTTGTCAGTTGTTGTACTACAAGTTTGCAATATGCAAGCATGTGGTTCTGTTCTTGTGCTTGTATCACCCATTGTGAATCAAATGAAGAGAAAGTAAAGTCCCTTGAAATATTTGATTACTATTGTCTAAAGGAACTTCTCACATCTGCACTTTTTACTGAATATTTTCATTGATATGCATCTCATCCTTGCCATTAGATGGTGGAAATATTTGAATATGATTACCACATTGTAGTTTTTAATATGGTGCATCTAAAATCATGACCATGATGTCTTTATGATGTCGATTTTTGTGTATCTGCATGCTCCTTACAATCTATGCTACTTTGAAGGATCAATCAGCATAGAGATTCAAGTCTTAGATTATTGATCAACTCATTTTCTTTTGGCAGGTCTGCTTACATATTGAAGCAAGACAGCCTGCCTTCATCATACAGATCTTTTTTGAATAAACATGGTGGAAAGGATTCTGTTATTTTACAAGGAGTCAAAGAAATCGCAAGCAACATCCCCTTTACTAATTTGAAGGGGATAGAGAAGTATTACAGATCCCAGGGTGTGAACATAAAATTAGATCCTAAAATGAAAGTGCCATGTTTGGTATGCCTTCACAAATTTCTTGCTCCCTTTTTCTGTTTGTAACTGTGACCATTTTGTTGTGCTGAAACTTTTTTGTAAGAATTGTGGTTGTAAACTACCTCTCACTACTTTATGTATATGAATTTGATAGGATTACTTCATCATCATCATCCAAGCCTTATCCCAACCATAGGGGATTGGCCACATGAAACCTGTTTCACCATTCCATTCTGTTTAATGCCATATCCATTGTTAAATTATGAGCACTTATTCATTTCTTACTACTTTGACCCATGTCCTCTTTATTTACCCCTAGCCCTTCTAGCCCCTTCAACTTGAAACAAATCACTTCTTCTTATGGGTGCTATCAGTGGTCTTATTTGCACGTGAACAAACCATCTTATTCTACTTTCTCTTATTTTATCATCCATTGGAGTGGCTCCTAGGTTCCTTCAAATGGCTTAATTTCTGACTTCTAATTTGATAGGATTACATGATGATCCAAAAAATTTGATGGCCTCAATAGAAGTTTTTACCCTTATCCTATGTTAATGGATATTGATACAACTATTGGAATCCGACACAGATATGAGGTGTTAGACTCAGCAAGCCTGAAAACAAGTTGTGTGTGTGTGTGTGTAAACAAGTTATATATGTGTGTCTGTGTGTGTGTGTGTTATAAATAATGAGATAATTGTTGAAAAATAGAAAAAAATAAATGTATATGTGTAGATCAATGCAAACAACACCAAGCAAACATTTCAAGTATTCCAAATGTATCATTAAAAAATTGAGGTTCTTTAGTCACATCTGTCACATTACAGATGTGACAAATAGAAGAGACCCCTCAAATATTGTACAGTATCCGACCTATGTTAATGAATGTTGGTATTAGTATCCGAATCTGAAACAGATAAGAGGTGTTGGACTCAACAAGCCTGAGAAAATAAAATTTGGGGACTGCTGCTATACTTTAGTTTCAAGGTTACATTTTTTTAGTGATGTTATAAAAAATGAGACAATTGTTGAAAAAGAAATACAAAAACACTAAATCAATGTAGATGCATAAATCAATGCAAACAACACTGAGCAAACAAATCAAGTATTACAATTTTATTATTCATGTCCAAATGTTACCATAAGAGTTTGAGGTTCTTTAGTCACATTACAGATGTGCCATTTTTTCTTTTCAATTATAATAGCACTTGTTTTCTCTGGTTGATGGGTGGCAGTAACTTGGGTCCAGTTTCGTCCCCTTTAACCTCTGTGAACCAGCAGGGAGCAAAGTTCGATCAGCTACAGTGGATGAAACACCCCTCCTACTTCCAAGACAAACCCATTATGTGGTACTCCAGAAGCAAAGCAGATTGGAGAGATGATGTTGCGGATGAAGATTGGAGTAGCTTTGGTGATTCTGAAGATGTTAACTATTTAGAAGAGTGCTCAAGTTTTGGAAGGTTGGAAGGCACAGTCCAGGTATTTTTGGACAAAGAAGACGACATGTGCCTGGACTCTCTCAGTTTGAGGCGGAAAATATTAGTGGTACTTAGGTTGGTGATCTTTCTGGACAAAAAAAAAAAAAAAAGAATTGTAGGGAGTGACAGGGGAGCCAAGTTCTCTTGCGAAGCCTCTCATTTGCAAAGAGAAGATTACAGAGGTGCGATTTTGTTTTTTTGATCAATAACATCATCTTCATTAAATTAAGAGAAGAGAGGGAAAAGAATACAAAGGGAGATAAAATAACTTAGCTCCCCAAAAACAGAAAACACAGGGAATGCAAAGAAAAATTAAAAACTAGCCCAAAAAACAGCCTCCCTATT